TTCGACATCTATGTGAAACCGTTAGAGGAGGTGATCAGCTTTGGAATAAGGTGTCATCAGTGTCATGCTGATGACACACAACCCTATCTCTCCATTACCACCTCTGCAATGGATGCCATCCAGATGCTTGAGTGTTGCCTGACTTCAGTACTGGAATGGACCAGAGCTAACAAGCTCAAGCTGATCCTGGACAAGACAGAGATTTTGCTCCTGGCAGGGGGACCTCTAATAAGTTGAGGGGATGGTCCCTAGGTGAGATGGACTGCCTTCCTGTTTACAGATCAAATGCACAACTTGGGCATTCTTCTGGATCCAGTTCTTTCTTGGCAGTCCCAGACAGGAGCTGTGTCCAGATCTGCTATTTACCCATCTTAGGCTAATTGCCCAACTCTGCCTCTACCTAGATGAGGACTCCTTCAGGATTTTAGTGCAAACTCTGGTCATCTCCCAGACTGACTACTGCAATGCTCTTTACGTTGGGCTTCCCTTGGGCCTGTTCTGGAGACTTCAGTGGACCCAGAATGCGGTAGCCAAACTGGTGGTGGGTGAGAGTGAATTTGAACATATCATTCTGATTCAGGCTTGCCTCCACTGGTTGCCCATTGCGTCCCAGATCAGCTTAAAGGTTTTGACACTTATATACTGTACAATACTCCCCATAGTTTGGGCCCATGTTACTTGTTGGTGTGTCTATCCTTAATGTCATTTGCCTGACCCACAAGATCATCCCAATCAAGGCTCCTCTGCGTGGCCACTCCAAGGGAGGCCCATAAAACTTCTAGAAGTAGGGTGTTCTTCATGGTGGCTACAAACTTATGAAAGCAGCTTCCAGAGAAGCTCCACCTAGTCCCTTCTTCACTGATATTATCAGGCAATTAAAGATGTTGCTTTTCAGAGAGGGTTTTCACACTGACCCTAGCTGATCATCTTCCCCCTACCTGCCCTTCCTCCATCTGCTCTGGTTTACATGATTGGTGTGTTCCATCAATTTAAAAAAAATAATTGTAGTTGCTTTTAATGCTGTAATCTTTATTTTTGTTTTGTATTATATTTGTTGTAACTGCCCAGAATAGTGATTTGGCACACTAATGGGAGTGGGATGGATGGATGGGTAAATCAATCAATCAATCAATCAATCAATCAATCAATCAATCAATCAATCAATCAATCAATCTCAACCTTGGAAATTTTATAAATAGAAAGTTAGTATAAAAATGTGAAAAAACCAATTGAGGAAGATTTGAGTTTTAATACATTCTTAGAGAAACATCTTAATATGAACAATACCACAATATGTAGCTTGCGACTGAATCTTTTGTACCTGTTCATTATATTCCAAAGGATTATAGATTTAAGTCCTTCATAATTAGAAATATCAGGTCAATAATTGCAAGTAAAATTTCATAACAAGGAAGCAATATTGTGCAACACAGTGAAATGAATGGAGACTACTCAAAAGAAAATGGTATTTTAAAAATAAGGATTTATATAGGAAAATTTCCCAAATACGTTACAAACGATGATGATGAGTTTGGAATGTAAGAACTATGAAGAAAGCCTGGAGGGAAGACAACAATGAGGACAAATAAAGTAGGCTTGCAGTAAAGAAATATGAGAAATCTGTTTGGCAAGCATTCAAAATTCCATATTGTCAGGTGTGAAACCTAAACCATGGATCACATTCCCCTCTGGATGCAAAGAATCAAGCTCACTATAGACTTTCAAGTAACTTTCTAAGGCATTCATGTTTTATTTGGCTTTGAACCTTCCATTTCAAAAGTGTAAATGTATAATTTCAGAATCTTTTTCTTATTTTGTTGTTCTTTTTAAGATACCTGGAATTCTTTATTATGCTTGTGTTCTTTGTGCGGAAAAAATTATATGCAAGTTTTAAGTAAAACAAATGGAAATAACCTATAAGATAAATGATAAACATAACAGAGAACTACATTCACAGAGATAAAGGGAGATACACAAAACTTCCTATGACTGGACATGTTATAAAATTGTAACAACATTTGGCAATATAACTCTTAAAGAATTTTTTTTTAAATATTCCACTACTGTGCAAATTCAAATCCATTGTATTTCAGATTATCATGTTTTACAACACAAATTGAAAAGAAAATGCAAAACAGTGCCTCTTTTAAGTATTTCTATATATTGCCCAGATTCTTCCTAATTTGGGTGCAGTAGTTGATACGTTTAATCAGAATGTAGGCCCTTGGGGTCCAAAAGGGGTAATAAATCTCAAATAGCTATCAGACAAGGAAAAACATTTGAGAGAGCATAAGGGATGACAGTGTATCGCAGGCTTGAAAAGTCAGCTAGGCTTTAAAAATTTTTATTCTTAAAGCCTACTATGGTGGTGGCAGCTGGAACCAAGGAGTCTCCCTAAGCACAAACACTTAAAATAGGATGAATATCTAAATCAGGGGTGTCCAACCTTTCCCCTTCCCTGGGCCACATTAGAAGATGAAAATTTGGTTTGGGCCGCATGGTGGGGCAGCACTAGCTGTCCTCCGTAGCCCTGCTCCAAGCGCACTTACCAGCAGCTGCGATCTCAGACAACAGAGGCTGCCAGCTTCGACTCCGGCGGCTTTATGGGGCTGGGAGGGGGTCCACCTATTTATGGGGATGGCGCAATGCAGTCACGCAGCCCCCGTGTCCCCTCCCCTCCCACTCCTTCCTTCCTTACCTCTCTCCCCCTCTACTGTTGTGACATGCCCTGGCTGCATTCCAGCAGCAAGCGCCGGCAGCGTAACTTGAAACTTTGGAATTCCCTTAAAAATTTTAAAAAAATTGCACTGGGCCACATTACGAGCTGACCTGGGCCTCATGTGGCCCTCGGGCTGCAGGTTGGACAAGCCTGACCTAAATAATCTTTCTAAACTATGTGTGAAGGAGAGATAAAGGAAAGTGAGGCGTCCTTAGTAATAGAAGATATAACTGAGGAAAAAGAGGGTGATGACCTAAACATATCTGAAGGGAAAAACAGTATGTTGGGAGAGCTAGAAAAGGTGGAAGAGAAAAGGGGGAAGGTTGAAATATGTCTGGTGGAGGAGGGAGAGAAAAGGAAAGGGGGGGAGCAAAAGATGTCAATCTGGGACGCTGAGGGTATAAACAATGGTTCGGGAGTAAGCTGGAAGGAGAGAGAATGAGATAGAAGAAAGCAAGCAGGATAGTGGTTATGAGAAGGCGCGTGATTTACTGAAAGATTTCCCGAACTTATGGGAGGACTGTTACCAGACCCAGAGCTGAAGAGAGAGAGGGAGACGGTGGTGGAAACTCAGGAGTGGACCATCATTGTGTTCCCACACGAGCATGGGAGAAGAAAGAGGGTGATCTGTCCAGATTCCACCTACAATCAGCCACCAAAGGAGGGTGACTGGGCTAGACACCCATGCTGCGGGACGATCTGTGCGGTGAGGAGCGCACCATTTCGGAGACCCACCGACAAAGAACGGTTTGGCCCAGCACCCCAATAAGTTACCAGGACTTTGGACGTGAATTTATATCATCTAATTATGGCCCAGTTCCGGAGTTATCTTGTTTTGACCCAACTGAAATAAGAAATAATTATAGAAAAGTCGAAAACAAATAAAAACCAAATCATGAGTTCAGTTAATACGTCTTCTACTTTATTTCCCGCCAAAAATGAGGAACCACCAAAGGAATCAAACGGACCCTTATGGCCCACTGCCGGAGTTATCTTGTTTTGACCCAACTGAAATAAGAAATAATTATAGAAAAGTCGAAAACAAATAAAAACCAAATCATGAGTTCAGTTAATATGTCTTCTACCAAAGGAATCAAACCACCAAAGGAATCAAACGGACCTAATCACACTATGCATTACAGATAATTAGAAAATTGAATTATTTGACCCAAATCCTCTTGCTTAGCATAGTATATCATATTCCCAAGGAATCAATAGGGATTTAGTAAGGCAACTCCTCCATAAGTTCTACTGATTCAAATAGATCTACTTTAACTGTGACTTACTATGGAGGAGCTGACTCAACAAATCCCCACTGATACAATGTGCCTACTCTAGCATATTTTACTACACTAAGTAACTGGATTTTGACCTTTAAATGCTGAGCATGTGTAGTTCCTTTAAATCAGTGGTCCTCAACCTTGGGCCTCCAGATGTTTTTGGACTTTAACTCCCAGAAATCCTGGCCAGAAGAGGTGGTGGTGTAGGCTTCTGGGAATTGTAGTCCAAGAATATCTGGAGGCTCAAGGTTGGGGACCACTGCTTTAAATGCTGAGCATGTGTCACAAAGGAGTTTTCACATCTCCTGTAGTCTGTAAGTAAGCTTGCTTTGTTTTGTGACTGGTCATCAGGAGCGAAACACAGATGTAATTTGTATATAAGATTGCACAGACAATCATTTATACATACAGTAGTGCCTCGCAAGATGATTGGTTCACATGACAACGAATTCGCTTTACGATGAGGTTTTCGGAGCGATCTTGCACTTCGTTTAACGATGTTTCCTATGGGCGATTTTCGCTTCATGATGTTAGGGACCTTGCCTCGCAAGACCGTTAAATTTTAGGTCCCTGTTTTTCACTTTATGATGTTTTTGACAGCTTGCTCTTGCTTCGCTATACGAGTCTTTTAATGGTCTCTGTTTCGTTATACGGCTGTCTTCGCTTGGGAACAGCATTTCGCTTAATGATGTTTCCTATGGCAATCTTCGCTTTACGATGACAATCCGTTCCCATTGGAACGGATTATCAGGTTTTCAATGCATTTCAATGGAAAAACGTGTTTCGCAAGACAATGTATTCGCTTAACAGCGATTTTCGCAGAACGAATTAACATCGTCTTGCGAGGCACCACTGTATATGTGATCGTTCATTTCTTGCAATGAAGGAAGGTACGGTGTGTGCCCTCCCCCCCCCGGGGAATATGTACGGAAAACGTGTTTTGCAAGACAATATTTTCGCTTAACAGCGATTTTCGCGTAATGAATTAACATCATCTTGCGAGGCACCACTGTATATGTGATAGTTCAGTTCTTGCAATGAAGGAAGGTATGGTGTGTGCCCTCCCCCCCCTCCCGGAATATGTATTGGGATACTTTTTAGCTTGCTCATAAATTGGGACTTTTTAATTTGCTAATAAATGAGCTGGACTTATAGATAATTAGTGAGTTCCTTAGATTTGCTGATGACACCAAATGAGAACTTGAATTGATTTTACAATGACTGCATACCCTTTTTAGATATTTTGTTATTGTTATAGTTACAGGTTTTAGGAAGTAACTCTTTATTGATATGTGAAAGTGACAAAAATTACTTTTAATTAGTTTTGGAAGAAAACATCAGAATGTCACAAGCCACTGACCTATAGTAGAAAACAAACTTTTAAAAAATTCCCTCCGTAACTATCAAAATAACTTCTAAAAGCAATCACAGTTATACTACAAAAGAAGCAATGTTACCCCTTGTTACATCACTATTGCCAGGATCATTTGAAAAGTAATGCATCTCAATATACAATCTTTTTCTCCAATTAACTGATTTTCAAACAACAAAACTTCCCAACAGGCAAAGATGTTCCATTCAGAAGGGGAGAATAGTTAAAAAACAAAACAAAACTGAATTTAACATAAAGACTGATGGGACCAGACCTGGTAGTGATGGAAAGAGATTTGTCTTGGAGTCAGGCTGCACAGCCGAATGAAAATATCACCCATAGTTTGGCAGCAGTTAAAAAAAGGAAGGGGGGAAATTTGGACCATGAAAAACTGTAATTTGGAGGGAGCCAGTTGAGTAATTTGAATGGCTTAGAGTACGTGACATGATCTGGATGGTTTAGAGTAGATGATAGACAATTTTCAAAAGAATCCAATAGACAAATGTTCTACAGAAAAGAGAAATCAGACTAAAATGAAGCTACGAGTGACAAGATTAGAAATTGATGCCTGATCATGGCATACTATAGAAGCAGAAAACATTTCAGTCCTTTCTGTCATGTTTATACAATTCCCAGCTGCCGCTCAAGACCTTGCTTAGGAAAACTCCAGCAGCAAAGTTCAGCTCAAACATTTGTCTTATAAAAATAAAATTTTCTGCTACCTCCAACCAAAGTTATTCATAGGTCACCTAAAACTGTATCACACACTACACCATTATTAATCCATTTCTCAAAGTGAATGTAATCCGCTCTGCTGCCAATACTCTTCATAAAACCTCTGCAAAGAATCTGGGATTCTAGGGGTCACAACAACCAAAGCTTGTTTGAAGTGCCGTCCCATGATGCAATTGGCCTGGATATCCTCTTGAAGGGCAAGAAGGGCAGCTTCTCTACAAACCGCTGTTATCTGAAAAATAAAAACAATTAAAATAACAAAGTCTCTGTTGCTGGAACATTTTATCTGCCGACAACTGAAAGCAGTTCAAACCAAAACGCTGTAGAGTGTTTCATAATTTTCCTACACATCAAGTGTGCCTATACAAATGAAACTTCTGTTCCAAATGTGGCAAAATTCATCTATATATATATTTACATTCCTATAATTGTTATTGGAGCACCATGTGTTGCCTTGTTGTTGTAAATAAAATATGAATATGGCAGATGCTCAGTTAAAACCAATCAATATGTTTGGTATACTAGAAACAAGAGAAAGATAATTACACAGTCCTTAGCTCATTTTTTTCTTTTTTAAAAAAGGAAGAAACTACTTCAGCTTCTTTATTCCCCTTGAGTATATAATTCAACAAGGACCAAAGGGTGTGGAAAAGAAGAGGGCTAATATCCTAAAGTCTGAGATATGTTTTTAAGCTCTCTGGACTTCAGACAGCGGAAGCAGTTCCATGTTAATGTCATTCTAAAGACACATTACTGTGGTGAAAAGCAGTTGAGGAATGCACAGGGAGACCATGATTTTCAGTGTAAGGGAGAAAACAGATTGGTACTGACTGAACCCTTATGTGTGCAAATGAAAAGAGCCAGCTGAAATGCATTTGTCAGCCATTCATCTTTGTATTTTCCTTGCTTGTTCACTTGCTGAAAAGACTTCCACTGCCTAGGCTGGACTAATGGCTGCCAAAGTTGTTTAGGAGCTTTTAAAGGGATTTAGCATGTGTATAGGGAGACATGGGAGGAAAACAAAAATCAAAACCAAACGCATGTGTTCAGATAGATGTCTTTGTCAAGTTAGTGCTGTTGATTCTGATCAGCCCTCTGTTGTGATGCGTTTTAATTCTTTACAATGTGAGGAAGACATTTTTAAAGAAGGAAATATAAACACACATCATAAGTAACAACTCATAGCAGTCTGCCAGTTAAACGTATGGAGGACGGCTACGTGTATTCATCATTCTCAATTCCTAAACACAGGGGGTGAGGGAAACTGAACCACGATAATTTGAAATGTAACATGTCTAGATGTTACCCTCCTTTACTCTAATTAGATGGTTTTTTGTACCAAACAAAATTTTAGTATGTGAGGTAATTCTGTTTAAAACCACAGCTTGGAAGCAACATTAAAAGTAACTACTACCTATATTACCTTTGAGGGGAACTCTTTTATCTTTCAGGAGTAAGAAAAGTGTAATAAACTTATCTTTCATAAAATGAGAACAGCAAACAATTTGATAGAACTATGAGTAACTTTTCTAGCCTCTTTTGAAATTGATTTTTAAAGGTATTTTGAATGGAATCTCCCCCACCCCCACCCCATGTTTGTGGAAATGATGGAAACTTGGTGGTATGACTCCCATGACTGGAATACAGCAACTGAAAGATATAAAATGTTCAAAAAGAACAGGAAGAATAGAAAGGGAGGTGGAGTCACAGTATATGTAAAACATACTCCTTCCTGTGCAGAAATACAGGAAGATGTGCCTCAATATCCCATCAAGAGAATTTGGATTAATATAACTGGAAGAAAAACAAAAGTAATGTCGTAGTTGACATCTACTACTGTCTGCCCAATGAAGAAGAACACGTGGATGAAACCCCCGTAGTAATAATGGGAGATTTTAATTATCCTGATATCTGTTGTGAGAAAAATTCTGCCAAACATGGCTGTTCCAAAAAATTCCTGCCTTTTATGGCTAAACTTTTTTCCAACAAAAAGTGGAGGAAGAAACTCACGTATTAGCTACCCTAGACTTGATTCTAACCAATAGAAATGATTTGGTGAAAGAAGTGGCAGTAATGGTAATTCAGGGGAAAGTGACCATGTTCTACTTGAGTTCTTGATTTGAAAGGAAGCCAAAGCAGAGTATAGCTACACATGTATGTGAGATTTCAAGAATGCCAATGTTGAATAAATCCAGAAGAATGAAAAGTAAGATTCCATGGTACAAGATCATAACAGGAAAAGGAGTCCAAGATGGGTGGCAGGAACCTAGGAGGAACCTAGGAACTACAGACCAGTCAGTCTGACATAAATTCTAGGGAACAGTCTGGAGATTACAAAGTCACTTTGCAAACAACTTGAAAACAATGCAGTAGTAACTAGTAGCCAATACAGATTTGTCAGGAGCAAATCTTGCCAAAGTAATCTTATATCATATTTTGATCAGTTAACCTCCTAGGTACACAGTGGGAATCCTACAGATGTAATATATCTTGACTTCAGCAAAGCTTTTGACAAAGTAGCCCATGATATCCTGATTAGCAAGCTAACTAGTTGTGGGCTGGATAGATCACATGCCTGGTGGATACACAACTGACTACAGAATTGTACGCAAAGGGTGATGATTAATGGCTCCTTCTCAAACTTCGACAAGGTAGCAAGCAGGTTCCTTCTTAAACAGGGCCTGGTGCTTTTCAAGATTTTCATTAATGATTTGGATGAGATGTATAAAATTGGGTGGAATTGCTAATATTCTGGAAGACAACAAAATGAAATTGAAAAGGATCTTGATGAACTCCAGCACTGGGCTGAAAACAACAGAATGAAATTTAACAGGGATAACTGCAAAGTTCTACACCTAGGGAAAATAAATCAAACATGCAGATACAAGATGGATGATACCTGGCTGAATAATTCTATGAGCAAGAAATATCTTGGAATAATGATAGATCACAAGTTATGAACCAATGTGGCTGCAAAAAGGCAAATGAACGTTTTTTTTATCTAGATATCTCCAAAGAAAATACTATACATTGGCCTTTTTGCTGTTCTCCATGTCTTTTTCCCTGAGATCCAAGATGAAGCAAGAATGGACAAATACTGGTTGAAATCCTGTTGCTCAGTGTAGCAAGTCACATTAGGACCACTGAATCAGTGGGGATTTGATGAGTCAACTCTTCTGTAAATTCCTTTGATTCAAATGGGCTTACTGTAGTCGAGCCTTACTATGTATGCTAAGTCAGTCAGTCACAAGTTGAGCAGACTCATTTGAATCAATGGATCTTATGGAGGAGTTGACCAATCAAATCCCTGCCAATTTAATATACCTAAACTTGTGTGACTTATTACATTAAGCAACAGGATTTCAGTCACTATTCTATTTAATTTACAGAGGGTCATATAATTTTCAATTCTCCCAGGGACAACATTTGAGAAACTCTGCTGGAAATCACATCTGTTGCTATTTATAGTCACTTTATGAGTAAGGTAAGCAGTGGGACCTGATGAATTTGAGATGCTGCTTTCTCACCTCTGGAACATCTCAAAAGGTTATCCTATTACTAGAATGACTTACTGTTCAGAAAGCTGGCTCTATCAGTTGCAGGGGGAGAGAAAAGTGAGGAGAAAGCTGTTTTTCTTCCTTTGAGCATGAAGGGTCAATAATTTTAAGTGAAAATGCTGCACTTACAGAACAGGGACTGGTCAGTGCACAGAACAGCCGCATCTACTGTTCTGTATCTTCTCATGCCCAAATATTTCTCCCTCTTCCCCAAAAGTAGATGTGGTAGATCAGATTCTTGTACTTGCGACTGCCAATGACAGGGGAAGGTGCAACACTGAAGGATACCGGCGCTACAGAGAGCCAACAATGCCTTTGCAGCCTGAAGTTCTTGAGAAAACCAAGGATAAAGTATGGCAAGCAATCTAGTCCTCTTGCTGGAAGGCTAGCACCTCCTGAGAAAGAAAGATGTGCCAGGAAGCCCTTTTTAGCCAGAAGCAAGCTTTCCAAGCCAGTGCCAGTGACAGGGGGAAAGGAGAGAATTAATGAATGTCTTGGTCTGTATGTAGTGACAGGGACATGACAGAGGACAGACTGAAGGTATTATTTTCATAACCTTCTCCAAACTTGAACCCTCTGCATGTTTTGGATCACAACACCTACCATTCCTTTTCACTGGACCTGCTCGCTGGGGCTGATGGGAGTTAGTGTCCAAACTATTTGGAGGGCCATCGGGCTGGGCAAGGCTGCTTTAGCCATATAATGCATGGGCCAATCTTCAGCTTGTTGCTCTACACTTGAGAACTTAATCCGTATTGGAAGGCGGTTCTCAAGTCAAAAAGTTCTCAGGTCAAATCTGCATTTCCCATAGGAATGCATTGAAAACCATTTGATCCGTATCTGCTCTCTTCCGTCCATAGAAACTAATGGGAAGCTGCTATTCTGCCTTCGACCACTAGAGGGGGATATTTTGTTTCTTTTTTTCTTAGGTCAAGAAAGGTTCAGGGAAGGCAGGGAAAATACAGTCCAGGCAGTACAGTGCCAGGCAGTCTGAAGACTGTCTCCCAATCCACTCTCTAAACGCTGGGAGGAGTGAGGAAGCAGACAGGCACCCTTTTCACTGGCCAACAGTTAACTGAAAATTCACATTTTGCACTTTCCCTGCCTCCCACGTGGGTTTTTTTCAGTTCTTAACTCAAATCTAAGTACGTAAGTCAAGTCAATATTCTCCTATGAGAGTGGTTCTTAAGTCAAAATGTTCTTAACTCGAGCCGTTCTTAAGTCAAGACCCCACTGTATTAGAGTCATCTGACATGCATTCACTGCATCTTTTTGAGATGAATGCAATCTTACTGCTATCAAACTAGACACGTTTTTGGCAACCTATTTTAAATCCTTTAAGTCCCCAATAATATCATGTTTGTACAGTGCACAAGAGGCCATGCAATCTCCAGCTGGGCTCACTTGTTTTTATTTTTTTTTCCTGCTGTGTCCACTTGTAGTGCTTTCTGTTTATGCCACATTATTACAGCTGACTTATACTGAGGTAAAGGTAAAGGTAAAGGTTCCCCTTGACAATTTTTGTCCAGTCGTGTTCGACTCTAGGGGGCGGTGCTCATCCCCGTTTCCAAGCCATAGAGCCAGCATTTTGTCCGAAGACAATCTTCCGTGGTCACATGGCCAGCGCGACTTAGACACGGAACGCTGTTACCTTCCCACTACACATTTTTGGCAA